TGGGTGAGACTAAGAATTATGCCATTTACTATACACTGTTCCTTTAAGTTCCTCTGGAGATGGAATTTTGACTCCTTTTGGTAACTTCAAAAAGTTTTCCGCAAGCAAATGATCAAAAATTTCATCTGCCTTTGTTAAATTGAAAGAGTATTTCCTATGAAGGTCTTTCTTTTTGAATTGTTGGTCTATTGTTGTGTCTTTATGAATTAATGCCTCACAGATCACAAGTTCTTTTCCCATAATCTCTGCCACATCAATCTCATAATTAGGATCTCTATAATACGTCTTGTATGATGCATTACTTCGATCTTGCTCTTCCTCTAGTAATGCTTTATACCTAGATACCTTATAGGTTAGTTCCACTAAGGCTCTATACTCAATTGAGTTAAACTTCTTTCGAAGCCTAAACTCTAGACCATTTTAAGCCAACCTCACAAATTTAGGCTCTGGTAAGATGATTTTACATTTGTTTCGTGCTCTTTTGAATTTGACAATAAACTGAGTAGCCTTTTTATCAGGCCTTTGACTCAATCTTGCCAAGTCAGTCATAGACACTTCTGGCTCTGTTTGAAAGAATTAGGCATGAAATGCCTCCTCCATTTGTTGCCAAGTTTGAATAGAGCCAGGTGTAAGGTTAATATACCATACAAAGACTACCCTACTTAGAGAATTTGGGAACAATCTTAACTTCATGTAGTCATTATTGGCAAATTCACCACACTGAGCCGCGAATCTAGCAATATGCTCAATCGTTGACTGGTTTCCATTCCCATAAAAAATGGCAAAGTCTAGTATCTTGAAACCTCTTGGGTATTCATGTACCCTATCTACCCATTCTGGGTACGGTTTCCTGTACACAGGAGTCTGAACCCCCTGAGCCATTGGTCCATACATCTTTCTAACAATATCAGCAATTTGGTCCCTAGGGATCATATTTTGTGCCTGTTGAACCACTACTGGAGGAACAAACATAGGATTTGGTGGACAACCTTGTGTCTAGGGTCATCTTGGTCCATAGGGTGATATGTTTGGGATTGATAGTCCCTATGGTGCTGGTTGCTGTTGAGGGTATGGTTGACCCTTTTGAGCCTGTCCTGCGAAAGGACCTGTAAAAGGTACTGGAACAGGTGTTGTGTCTCTTCCAGTTGCAAAAAATCCTTCCAACCCCCCGAGTATAAATTCGAACAAAGGATTAGTGAACCCCTTTGTACCAAGTATGGCTTCGAACATGGGATTTGGAAATATTCTTACGCCATTTTCTTGTGTTAGACCAGATCCACCAATTTGCATGGCTTCACTGTTGAGTAAGGAGGCATTTTGATTTGCCACAGGCCTCGAAAGAGGCTCATACCAAGATTGAGGTGATGGTCTTTCATGGTTTTTGTTACTAGTTTGACCATTAGTATGTCCATTACTCTGCATAGACTGTTTATCTCTAGCCAATCTTTGCTGAGGGACATTTGAATTTTCTTCTATATGCCTTGCGTTGGTTGGTTGATAAGTATTCATTCGATCCAAAAAGGATGTTGCCCACCTTTCTATTGTGTTCATTAACTGCTGTCCCATGGCATCTACTAGGCCATCCTATGGATTCTTTGGTTGAGTAGATAGAACAGTGGATGGTCCAATTCCTTGGCCTCGTCTAATATTATGAACATGTGGTACTTGTTCCGAAGTGCTGGTCTGTTTGACTATAGGTTCTGATAAAATAGGTGCTTCCACAGGATGTGTTATCACATTTTCCTCTGGATTAGGCATTTCTCCCGCTCCTTCCACACCTTCTTTCAAGCGTTCATTTTTTCCTTGTCTCCTACGTCTAGCCATTTCAATTAGTCTCACTGGGCGTGCCAAAAATATATGTTTTTTTGGCTTTCGAAGGTTATTTTTGTAATTGTGAGTGTGCCAGCAATGATCAATTGGTCCTTACAGAATATTAATTGCCAACCAATTATCAGATGATTGTGTTTTAGTTCTTTCAGCCTCAATGAAGAAGACTTTTACTGGTGGCTTTGTTTAAGATAATTAAGCAAACAATGATTAAATGAAGAATAATTGTAGCATTTTATTAAGCAAAATGAAAGACTTACAAAGATTCAAATTAGCCTCGTAGAGGTTTACAGCAACAAGCTACTTAAAAACTACTCCTATGAACGAAATGCAGTGTATGAATTTGAAGTACATGAATGTAAAGAACAAGAAATATGAAAACTGGAAGGAAAAATAAAGTAGATAAAACTGGTTTTTTGGATCTAAGTCTGGGGGCACTTTCTGGGGCCTTCTCTGCTATTTGTATTTCTCAATGACAACCGTCGAACTGCACTTCTAACCGTCGAACCGCCTCTCCATGATCACTGATCATGTTGTCTTATAGTTAGTTTCACAATGCCAATATCTGCAGTTAGGCTTCCCTCCTGATTTTGAATTTAAATATGAGTAACCGTTGAAGCCACATTATTTTGCATCTCTTTGCTGATCCAGTGTTATGCAAATCTTATCAAAACTAATACTGACTGCCATGTGTACGATTACGATCGAAGATTTGAATTGTCTTCCTGTATTGCCCTCATTCTGTCATGTGTTGAACTGTGATTGGTTTTATACAAAATATGTAGCCAACACAACTGTGATATATTAGACCCTAAATTTTGAATATTGTTCCAAATAAGGACAATCGATAATACCATTGGATTTTTCCAGGAAAAAATTGTTAATTTGATAAAATATAAACTAATTTAACAAAAATAAATTTCAAAAAAATATTTTTGAATTTTTAAAAATTATTTCTACCCACTAAGATAAAATTATGTAAAATTGATAAATATTTTAGACATTTATTTATACTAAATTAATTTTTATTATATGTTTGGATGATAATCATGTAATGGTGGTTGTTTTTGTTTTCATTAAATTAGTTTTTATTTTTCCAAAAGTCAAACATGACAACAATTTTGATATTATTATAAACCAATATATTAAATCGAAAAAGTCAAAACTAAAAATATTTCATATATTAAATATAGGGCAAATTACACAAATAGTCCCTATAGTTTGGGACTTGTGTCACTTTGGTCCCTGACTTTTCAATTGTGATACATTTGACCCTAAATTTTAAATCTTGTTTCAAATAAGGACAATTGAAGATATCATTGTTTAATTTCATGGGTAAAATCGTCATTTTAATAAAATATAAACTAATTTGACAAAAATAAATGTCAAAAAAAATATTTTTAATTTTTTAAAAATTATTTTTATCCACCAATGATAAAATTACGTGAAATTGATAAAAATTAATAAAAATTACATAATTATTTTTTTAAAATTTATTTTACATGATCATCATCCAAACACATAATAAAAATTAAGTTGGTAAAAAAAATAAATGTCTAAAAGATTTATTAATTTTACATAATTTTATTTTTAGTGGGTAGAAATAATTTTTAAAAATTTAAAAATATTGGTTTGACATTTATTTTGTTAAATTAGTTTATATTTTATCAAATTGATGATTTTACCCTTAAAATATCTAATGATATCTTTAATTGTCCTTGTTTGGAACAAGATTCAAAATTCATGGTCAAATGTGTCACAATTGAAAAGTCAAGACCAAAATGACACAAGTCTCAAACTATAGGGACTATTAGTGTAATTCATCCTTAAATATATATATAAATATATATATATCGAACTCATTACATGATCATCATTCAAACATATAATAAAAATTAATTTGGTAAAATAAATAAAAAAATAAATGTTTAAAAGATTTATCAATTTTACATAATTTTATCTTAGTGGGTAGAAATAATTGAGAGTCAAACTTGGCCAGTTTTACACACTGGTCTGTACTTAAAAGCCGTCTCACCGCCATTTTCAGCAATCTGGATCGTTGAATCCACGGTTTTGGATAATCCGAGGGCTGAGCGTTGGTTGTGATTTCACCGTTAGATCTAGATCGGATGGATGAAATGTGTTTGCGTGCGTTGCGTCATTTCTATTTATTAAGCATAGAAGGTTTTTCTTTTTCTTTTTTTAATTAAAATAATTTTTAAAAAAGAAAAAACTTTTTAATTTAATAAGATAAAATAAAAATTATTAAAAAAATAAAAAAATTTATAATTTGGGTTATTTTAGGAAGATGGTTATAATTAATTTTTTTATGAAAAGTTGCTTATAAATAGTTTTTTTTGTGAGAGAGGAAGTGCATTATAATCTCAAAAGTGAATTATAACCCACTTTCCAAAATAGGTCTCAATTTCAAAAAGTAAAAAATTATTTTTTTCTACTTTTTACACATATTTTCGTAAAACATAAAAAAGTTATTTTAAATATATTAGTTTTTTGCCTTATATTTTAGCCAAAAATAAAAAATTATTAAAATAGTCTGTTCCCAAACGAGGTGAGATAATTTTTAAATTTTTTTTTTTAACTTTTATGAGAGAAAAAAATAATTATAATTTAGATGTGACATTTTATCTTATTAAATTAAAAAGTTTTTTCTTTTTTAAAAACTATTTTAGTTAAAAAAAGAAAAAGAAAAACCTTCTATGCTAATAAATAGAAATGACGCAACGCACGCAAACACATTTCATCCATCCGATCTAGATCTAACGGTGAAATCACAACCAACGCTCAGCCCTCGGATTATCCAAAACCGTGGATTCAACGATCCAGATTGCTGAAAATGGCGGTGAGACGGCTTTTAAGTACAGACCAGTGTGTAAAACTGGCCAAGTTTGACTCTCTCTCTATAAGTTCCTCTCTCTCTCTACGAGTTCCTATCTCTTTCTCAGCTTCGAAGGCTTCTCAGAGCTCTCTTCGCCGCCATCGCTCCTCTGTCGTGCTTGCGATCCAGACTTCTCAACTGGTCCACACAATTGTTTTCTAGGGTTTCAAGCACAGTCTCGTTGTCTAAGTTGAAATCGAGCTTTAATTTTGTTCAAATTGTTGATTTAGGTTTTTTTTTTTTTTTGTGTGCTTATTTTTTTTTTTTTTTTTTTGTGTGTGTGCTTGGTGCACGACTTATAGTTCCTGCTTCTTGTATTTACGTTTGTATGAAATTTCGTTGATTGAATGATATTTATTATCTCTCTCTGGACTCTGCTTTGCTGAATGATTTCGCTCGGTGGTACGCAAGGAGGGCATTTGAGTCGAGATTTTAAGGTTAGGGTTTTATTTGCATTGCTGTTAGTCACTATTTTATTGTTGTTGTTGCTGTTAATAGCGTATTAACATGTTTGAGTGTGAAATTGGACATCTAAGAATACTTAAAGCATGCTTATTGATTCAATAAATTTTCACTTCAATTTATTAAAGATAAAGTTGTTAGTCATCCTTGCAACTCTATTTTTGAAAAAGATTATATACGCTAGAGAAAGTGGTCTTTGAAATCTTGGGTTTATCTGAAGATTTCATTCACTCAAAAGAAAAAAAAGGAAGCAATATTGAAATTTCCCCCATTTTTATCCAATAAGAAAAAATAAAATAAAAGAAAGAATGCAATATTGGGTACTTAAATTTATTAAAGATAAAGTTGTTAGTCAAGTTTGCAACTCTATTTTTGAAAGATTATATACACTAGAGAAAGTGGTCTTTGAAATCTTGGGTTTATCTGAAGATTTCATTCACTTAAAAGAAAAAAGGGAAGCAATATTGAAATTCCCCCCATTTTTATCCAATAAGAAAAAAATAAAAATAAAAGAAAGAAAATATTGGGTTCAATTTTATAAATAAGTTAAAATCCACAACCAAGAATCAAATTGAATCGTGAATCGTAAAGATTCGGTTACTTTTTCTAAATTACATAGAAAGATATATCTACACACTTGGATGTTAAATATATCTTATGAATATGAAATATTTACTAGAGGAACTCATCTGCCCATAATTCAAATATGCAGAATTAAGCAATTTATGTTACACCTTGGATAGAAGGAGACGGAAGAAGTGGTTCGAGAACTAAGGTGGATGATGGCAAAGAATGATAGGTTGACAGGAGGGTACTCCACTGGTTTTGCTCCTAATTATGAGTCAGAAGGGTCTGGTAGCTCAGGACGACTTGACACGGAGATTACTGCTTCAGAGGATTCTAGTGCTCCGAGGAGGAAATGCATTAATTTGAATTCTGCTGCTTGTGATGGTTTTAGTGCCCCATTACAGGTCCTCCCTTTATCAAAAATGTGTACTTCTGAGAGGAAGGACTTAGTACTAAGATTGAGAGCCGAACTTGAACAGATTCGTATCCTCCAGAAGAGAGTTGAAAAACAGAGAACTAATGTGGTTACGTTATCATCATCTAGTGATATTCTTAGTTGTAGCAATGTACAAAATGGACCTCCAGTGGAGAACTTCAAGAAATCATCAGGATTGAAATCTGAACTAGGGAGGAAAGTAAACCCTGAAGCCCAGAAGGCGCGTGGCTGGAATCGTGGTACTTCAGGAAGGTTCGAGTGTGCGAAAGAAGCATCAATGCCAAGCACTTTCAATACAGTTTTTATGAAACAGTGTGAGGCGTTATTAAAAAAATTAATGCAACATCAGTATGGTTGGGTTTTTAACACTCCTGTTGATGTAGTAAAGTTGAACATTCCTGATTATTACACTGTTATCAAGCACCCAATGGATTTGGGGACAATAAAGAGCAAGATTACTTCAAGTGAGTACTCAAGTGTGTTGGACTTTGTTGCAGATGTCAGACTAACTTTCTCCAATGCCATGACCTACAATCCACCTGCAAATCATGTCCACATCATGGCTGATACACTTCGTAAATTTTTTGAATTAAGATGGAAAGTTATTGAGAAGAAATTTCTTAAGGATTCTCGGCCGTTACAGGAAAAATCAGGCATACATGAAGAAAAGGAGACAGTTAAATCAATGCCTTCATCAAAAAAGAGAAAAATCACTTCAATGGATCATAAAGTTATTCCAGACCCTGCTAGCCGGATAATGACAGATGAGGAGAAACATAATTTAAGCAGGGAATTGGAGGCTTTGCTGGGGGAGTTGCCAGACAATATTGTTGAATTTTTGAGAGAACAGAGTTCAAATGGAAGGGAAACTGGAGAGGATGAGATTGAAATTGATATTGATGATCTCAGTGATGATACCTTGTTCAAGTTACGGAAGTTACTAGATGATTATTTACAGGAGAAACAGAAGAAACATGCAAGAGCTGAACCTTGTGAAATAGAGGTATTTTACATTCATACCCCCTTCCTTCATTAAAATGAAAATTAAGGCCTTTACTTAAACAGTTAGTATGTCTATATTAATTAATATGTTCTCCCTCTCTGTTGCAGCTACTAAACGAATCAGGAATTAGCAATTCATCCATGCAATTGTGCGAAGGTTATATTATCCATTGTATTTGGTTGCTCCAAAATTGCATTCATCTAAACTGATTGTGAACCTTTCATTGTAGCTGATATATTTTCTCATTTATTGTGCATTTGTAGGGAATGATCCAATCGATGAAGATGTTGATATTGGGGGGAATGAACCTCCTATCTCAAGCTATCCTCCAGTAGAGATAGAAAAAGATAAAGGTCGTAGAAGCAACAAATGTATCAGATCAGGCAGCTCTAGTGGTAATTTCGTTTGGTCTTCCTGTTTTTCCTCTGTTTGGACATTTCAGAGTGAATATGTACTTTCTGATTTGAGCTTTTCTAGGGGACAAAAATACTTTACTTTTTTAAGTCTTCCTTTCATACCTCACAAACCAACTAGACATGCTCAAGTACCTGACTTATTTTACTTATCGTTTTTCAATTGTAGTAGTGCCTGTATATATACCAGGGTAGTACTTCATTTTTCAATGTGATCATGCCATTTCTTGTGTGCCCAACAGGATTCTCACAAATGTTTCGATGACAAAGTGTGTTGTGTGGTCAGGAGTGGCCGGAGTGGTGGGGGAGGGAGGAGGGAATGAAAACATGTTTTATTTTTTTATTTATTTTTTCCTCATTTTTTGAGATCTGTTTCCAATTTTTGGAAATGATAGTCTTCAAAATTCTTGAAAATTGAAGTAGAAAATAGAAAACGAAAACTTAGTGAACAAGCCCTTAGTTTAAGATTCCTCTATCCCACCTGACTTCTACCTCAAACATGGAATTTGATATGAAACGAGCTGTGTTTTACCCCAGCCGTCACCCAAAATAAAAGAGGAAACAATATTCGAAAAAAGGAGGGAAAAAAGGGTCTATCAATTGGTGGGCTGGATGTTGTTCAAAAAAATAAAATAAAATAAAATAAAAATAAAAATTGGTGGGCTGGATGATTGCAGAATGGCTGCTTGTTGAGCTGGAAGAAAATGCTGCAAAGTAATCTTGTAGCATGGAGCTGACTTGTGACACCAACCAAGTTCCTCTAGCTGAGCTGATTACAGGACTAACTAACGATCGGTGATATGGAAAGGTCCTGCCTGTGGCCTTATCTATATTGCCAAAGATGTGCCACCAGAGCTCTGGGACATGCTTGTTCATGTCAAATTTATCCCCCAAGTGAAAAACTTTAATCTTTCAGGTGCTGCTATATCACTGTATATGATTTGAATAGATGTCCGTAACTGACGCAGTTTTTTGGATGATATAGTTAGAACTCCAATGAAACCATTGTTTCAAACCACATTATTTTTCTATAGGATCAAGAAAATGATGAGATTATTACTAAAATTCTTCCTCCCTTCGTTATCTTAAATGTGGGCAAAAATTGTTATAAGGCCAAAAGGTTGCTTACTAAATAATTCTGCAAGGGCTATTGTGTGTGTGTCTTGTGCTTGCATGTGTGTTAACCCCCTTACAGAATGTTCTATAATGACATGGGTAACTTGACAAACCAAGGCCAAAAGGTTGTCATTGTTATTGTTGTCTGTTTTGTTATAATTTTTGTTTTATTACTTCCCTCATGTATATATGTTTTATCTCAGATTCAGACTCTAGCAGTTCTGAAAATGAATCTGATGGTGCCAAAGCTTCTACTCTAGCAAAGCCACCAAAGGTATGTGTGGGATGGTATTTAGTTTTTCTGAGTGTAAAGCTATGTAGTTACATTACATACACTTCATTGGGTGATGGTGGATAAATGATTGTGCTTTACTTGCTGCTCGTTGGATTATATGTGGAAATTACATCTTCTATTTTCCTTTTAAATCATGGTTTGTTTTACTTACTCCATGCTTATTTGCTTATAGGAAAATTCAGGTCCTGAAGCAGATTTAGATGAAATGACAGGTGTTGTTGACTTGCTTGATGGAAATCGTGAGTTAACCCTGTGATGCTTTGTTATATACAATTCCATTTTGTTGGAGTTGGTGTTGCCTATTGGGTGTTTTTACTACTGCTTTGATGTCTAATCTCAATGTTTATACTAATTATGTTTTACTGTATTATTGGGAAACATGAATCGTTTTTAAGTTGTCTCTGTTTACTTTTTTGCATGTGAACGGAAATTAATTGGCCTGTTCGGCTTCTTAAATTTTCCCTATTCGGTATGACTTAGAAATGGTTGCCTCACTTACAAAGTCTCTTGACCATGCCCTTTGTGCAGAATCTGTTAGTGGACTGGATCAACTTGAACAAATCTCCCAGAAGCCAAACTCTATTGAGTCAGATTGCCATCAGGATGGTAAGCATGAAGTGTGAAGAAAATTGGCATCCTATTAATATCAGGGGTGGTGTCTCATCCTTTCTTATTATGTTTTTAGGGGAGAGTGCTCTAAATGAGAGGCAAGTTTCACCTGAGAAGCGCTACAGGGCTGCTGTTTTGAAAAACCGATTTGCTGATACCATATTGAAAGCTCGAGAAAAGACACTCAACCAGGTTGGTTACAAAAATGGGTTCCTTATAAACATACCCTATTCGTACCGGTCCTTTTTGCAAATGTTTTCTTCTTTGGATATGATGGGGAACGATTTGCTGTTGCTGAGATTAGGGTGAAAAGGGGGATCCTGAGAAACTACGCCGTGAGAAGGAGGAACTTGAGATGCAGAAAAGGAAAGGTATTGGCCTTAGAAATGTGAAATTTCACTGTTCTTTCTTATTGTTATCTTCTTTGGGATCAATTATCTATTTTGCATGAAGGTGGGTTGATATGGTCATCATCATTTTTAATGTTTGTTTTCATGTGTAATCAGAGAAGGCTCGATTGCAAGCTGAAGCCAAGGCTGCTGAAGATGCTCGAAGGCGAGCTGAAGCAGAAGCAGCAGCTGAAGCCAGACGGAAGAGGGAGCTCGAGAGAGAAGCAGCTAGGCAGGCACTGCAAAAGGTAAAGGAAAACACCTAAATGCTACTGAAACAGAAAACTGTGGCCCAATCTCACTGGAAACTTCTCTGGCATTGTGCAGATGGAAAAGACAGTTGAAATTAATGAGAATTCTAGGTTTCTTGAAGACTTAGAGATGTTAAGGACCGCCCCTCCCGAACAATTGCCAAGCTCTGTAGATGAGACGAGCCCAGATCACTCACAAGATGGGTTGGGCAGTTTCAAGTTTGGGGGCAGTAATCCTTTGGAACAACTTGGATTGTACATAAAAGTGGATGAGGAGGAGGAAGAAGGTGAGCCACCCAGTGTTCTGAAAATTGTTGATGATGTAGAGGAAGGAGAAATTGATTGACTCTGTTGAACGATGGAGCTACAATATAGAATACAATCCAGAAATGTTTGTCCTGCCATGGTTGCTTATTTAATGTTATATGGGCAAAAGAGAGTGCATTTCTCTTGTTTGCGTTAGCAATGAACTATTAATTGCAATTTCAATGGAGTGGCTCAAGCATTGCTATCAGTTATGGGTTTGGATGACGGTCTGATGGATTAAATTTCTGGATTTGAGCGAACAATGGCTTAGAATGTTGGAATTTTGTTGTTTATGTTGAAGCTTCTCTACAACAGCAGCAAACATGTGCTGCTACATACAGATTTTTCGTAGAGATGGAGAAGAAAACTGAATTGGAAAATGGTCAGGAATTTCTTAACCTTATTGTGTTTAGTGGTGTACCATGGTAATGCATGATACAAGTGGGGAAGGAAAATTTAGCTTGAAAAGGGGTTATGGTTGTCATTGACTTGGAGTGAGGTACATGGTAATATGGTATTTTCTTGAATAATTAATCTAGTGTCTTTCTATTATATATATAGTTACAGAATTACTAGTATTTTTATTACAATCATACAATTTCTGCTGCAGCTTTTTTTTGGGTTGTTTGGTGCAGAGCTTAAGAAACTGCTTATAATTTCTTTATTTATTTTGTATGTTTGTGCTGAAGTGTTGAAAAAAATGAGACCAAAGTAGGTTAAATAAGTTGAAAAAAATGATTATGGGGAAGTAAGGTGGGAGGTGTTTTTAGTTTTTTGTCTTTTGATGGTCAATTTTTAACTTGTTATTGTTCATTTTTATTGTCATATGATATAAGAAGTTTTTTATTTTATTTTTTATTTTTTAAATTTATTGGATTGGGTTGTTTATTTGTGGGTGTTTGGTAAGGGTGCTGAGAATTTTACAATCTGAGGTTTAAAGGCATGTATTTCCAGTGTAATGCCATATTTTATTCGTCCATTTGAAGAATTACATATTTGATTCTTTTCCAATAGTTTTTAAACTCTTTTTGAGATAGTTCACAAAAAGTTTGGCTATAAAGGTCCATTTTGGGAGCATGGGTTAAAAGTCAAAAATTAGATTTTAACTCATTTTGGGTTATATCACTTCTCATATAAAACAGTAAAAAAATTTAAAAAGTTCAAAGATTAGTTTTTGATCATCTTTTCTAAACACTCCAAATGTTGGGACTTGAATTTAGGCTCAAGGGTGGCACGTGTGTCGTCCAGAGCATAAGAGGCATGATTACTTAATGTCATCATCACCTTCCTCTGGCTTATCATTGGCAGTTTATTTAGGGTTTCAAACTCAACGATGGCAACTAAATACGACAGATGCGCTCGTTGTAAGACTTAACCCAACACCTTAAGGCATGAGTTGATAATAGCCATGCACTACCTATGTCTTCTCGAAGTCATCCCTCTCTTTCAAAAGGATTCGCGGCATGTTAAACCGTGATAAGGTTTTTTGCTTTGTATTGAATTAAATTACATGTTCCACAGCTTGTGTGGGCTCTCGCCAATTCCATTGAGTTTCATTCTTGCGAACGTATTCCTTAGGCGGGATACTTAGGTCATGTTTGATTCACAAGATTAATAGTGTAATATTAATAATCTTATTAAATTAGTGTGGTATTCACTATCCAATTGGATTAATATCTATTGGATTAATAATCCCACCCCTATCCCATTACTAATAATCTTACAAATTTGTTAGATTAATTATTCATTAGATTAATAATCCTAAATTAAAATGTTAAAACAAACATAGGATAATTGGGCTCACGGATTAATAATTTCAATCCCATGCTCTAATCCACCCAATCAAACATGCTCTTAACGTGTTAGCTACAACACTACATGGGTCGATACGCATAGCGCCTAGTATCTATTGTTTATGGTTAGGACTATTGGAGTATCTAATTCCATTCGCTGCCCTAGCTTTTGTCTCTCAATGTTAGTGTCGGCCTAGCAGAGTACTTTTGCCATTGATGTTCTTTCCGATCTCTACGCATTTCACCGTCTTACCGAAAATTCCCTCTGCTCCTACTGTACTCTAGCATGGTAGTTTCCATCGCTTGTCCTAGGTTGAGCCCTAAGATTTCACGGGAGTCTTATGACATGTAACTATTAACTATATTTAACTTCAAAATTTTAAAACTATTAAATCGAAAGTATGATTATAAAATCTTGGCTATGTTTTATTTTTAAAATTAATAAATATATATGGCGTAATTAAATTTTAAAGGCCTTTAAATAGAAAGTTTTAAAATTAATTTTTTTAAGTCATATTTCAATTGAAATTTGAAAATACAACTTTAGATTTTAAATTATAAAAATTGAGTAATGCTATTAGTATCTAGAGAGACAAGTTTTGAGAAAAAAAAATCTCAAAAATTTGTTTAGTTAAAAAAATTTTAAAAAAAATTCAAAATCACTTTTTTTTTTCTACTACACATTAATAAATCATTTTGCCTCTCTCATCTCTTTCTCTCATATCTTACACATCAATTAATTACTTTTTTTTTTCCACATCCATCTGTTCAATTACAAAAAAAAATTAAATCATTCAAAACTCCAAAATTATTTTCAAATTTTATAAACTCTTTTTAGAAAATTATTTTTCAAATTTTTTTCACAAATACAAACCAAACATGGCCTTTGTACAATCAAAGTATAATCTATATAGAATTTGTAGTTATATTTCATATAAAAATCAAATCGAAAAATATATGGATAAGAAGTATTTCTCTCCAATATGGTCAATATAAAATATGTAAAGTTAAAATAGTTTAAATTGAGTTTGAGTTTCAGTAGAAATCTATATATAAATAAAAAAATACATGCTAATGTGACTTTTTTTTGGACAAATTACATATACCTCCCTTGAGGTTTAACTAAATTACAGATACCCCCTGAGGTTTCGAAAATTACATCCCGCCCCCTACGGTTTGTATTTTCATAACAATTTGCTCCCTGAAGTTTAAATTTCATAACAAATTACCCCTTAATTTGTTATGCAAATATAGCATTCATGGGAAAATTTGTAATTTCTCAAACCTCAGGGAGGTATTTATAATTTAGTCAAACCTCGACGGGTATATGTAATTTGCCCTTTTTTATAAAAAAAAAGTCTAAAAATTTGTCACTTGAAAAACAAAAAATTTGCTTGTTTTTGGTTTTTCAAAAATACTTTTCAGAACATTCTACTTTCTTATTTTCCGTAATTTTTTATTTTTACTAAATTTTTAAAATATTTTAAGTATTTTTTTTTTAATTTTTAGACACACCTAACATAAATAAACATAAAAAGTATAATTTTTTTGAATTTTTTTAAAAAAAACTCACTAAATACTAAAAATACAAAAAAAATATGAGAATTCAATATATTTTTTGTATTTTTATGTATTTATTAATTTTTTAAAACATTTTTTTACAATTTTTTTACTTTTTAAATACATCTAAGTAAAGTGCATCTAAAAAAGTAAAAAAAATATTTAAAATTTTAAAAATATTCACTAAAAACAAAAAAATAGAAAAAATAAAAAATATCAAAAAATTTAATTCAAAAAACTCAAACCAAACACACAATACTATTTTTATATATTTATAAATGATTGATATGATATAATAATATGTCATGAGAATATTGAGAGGAGTTTTGAGAAATGGGTTAAAAATTAATTTTTTAATTTTTTCAACTTATTTTGATTTTTTATAAATAAGTTATATGTGAGATAATGTAATTTAAAATGGATTAAAAGTTAAAAATTAAAAAGAGATGTAAAAAATAATTTGATAACTTATAAAAAAAGTATAAATTTGGAAAAATGACCTTAAAAAGATGAAAAAAAATAAAAGGTGCATAGCTAGTAGTAGTGACTCGTATCGTATGGGATCTCCCATTCTGTCTCGAAGCTCTCATTAGTCCTTCCTACCCTACCCATCGGAGTAAAATAGAATAACGGTGCTACAACATGAACTAATTAATAGACTATTAATGTATTAATTAGTTTTATGATATTATTATTGATCATATTTGTTATACAAGTTATAAATATTTAAAATTATATAAATAATGTTATATTATTTATTATTATATTAGTGTGTATATTAATTGGTACATATAACATTATTCATAAAATTATATTATTTGTGCTAATTAATATATTAATTAATGTATTAATTGATGATATGATATAATTTAGAATAATGTTATATGCATTAATTAATGTACTAACTAGTGTATCAATTGATGACGTGACATAATTTAAGAAGTTTTTAGAATTTGTAATGTAATTAATGAATGAAATCAATAATAATATTATAACTAGTGTTGGTACACTAGTTAGTATACTAATTGTTGCATAAATCATTACCGTATAATTTAAGAGAGTTTTTATATTTGTAATTTATATAATAAATGAACTTAATAATAATATCATAATTAGTGTTAGTACATTAATTAATTAGTGTATGTAACATTACTAAGTAGAATACCACTAAAAAAATGCCATATGTAGCAATCAGTTTATTAATAAATATACTAAAAAATAATGTGATAAAGTTTAAAATATTTATAATTTTTATAATAGGTGGGGTTACCTAACAGATCGGAGTATTGTTTTGTTTTAAGAAAAATGTCTCGTATCTCAAATTTTGTGGTTCAAAAGTGATTCAAATGGTCAAAACGATGTCGTTTTGGCCATTTTTATGTTGTTCTGTCCTTAAAACGACGTCGTTTTGACCATTTAAACCACTTTTGAGTCACAAAATTTGAGTTACGTAGCATTGTCGTTGTTTTAATTTGCACACCAAAATACGTGAAATTTGTCACGTCCCCATTTCTCTCTCTCTCTCTCTCTCTCTCAAAATCTCAAATTCCAATCACACCCCGTTAATATATTTATATTCTTCACAGACGAGTCCACTGGCCTTCTCACTCTTTCTCTGTATCGTCGTCCCTCTCATTCCCTCCTCATCAAACCCTAAAACTCAAATCATTCAATTCAATCGATTTCAATCAAGGGTTTCTAAATGGAAACCCTAACCCCAATCCAATCTCCTTCAATCCCTAACCTCCCTCTCTTCTTCCTCATGTTCCTCATCATATACCTCATCGCCTACTTCATCATCTTCCCCAATTGGAGCCCTAAATTCCGACCCGAAGCTTCCAGCTGTGCCATCTCTCTTGCTCACGGCACTCCCGCCTTGTTCTTGGCCTCTCGCGCAATTTTCTCCGATCCAAATCGAGGTTTTGCTTCGATCAACACCAATTCCCAAAACTCAGTCCTCGATTACAGTATCGCTTACTTTTTAATGGACCTCTGTCACTACCTCATCTTCTATCCCAGTGATTTGCTCTTCATAGGTCACCATTTAGCCACTCTCTTCGTCTTCGTTACTTGTCGCTACGTTGTCTTCCATGGAGGCTACGCCATTCTCATCCTTCTTGTTCTTGCGGAGGTGACGAGCTTTTGCCAGAACACGTGGACTCTGGCGAGTGCAAGGAGAGGCGATTCGAGGGTTGCGAAGAGAGTGTACGATTTTTTGTCTCCTCCATTTTATGCATTTTACTCTGTTGTTAGGGGTTTGGCTGGACCGATGTTTATGTATGAAATGAGTAAGTTTTATTGGAGTGGGGCTGCGGATGATGTGATTCCGAGATGGGTTTGGGTTTCTTGGGTGATTGTAGTTGTAATGGCGATTTCTGTTAGCATATTGTGGATTTCGAATCTCTGGGTTGAGTTTTATAGAGAAAGAACTGGAACAATTCTGACGAAGAAAGTTTCCTAAAAAGAAAATTACTGGTAATTGTGATTTTGTTTATTGTGTGTGTTCATTGGAGGAATTCATGAAATTTATCGAATGTTTTCTTGGAGTTTTTGTTTTTTGGAATTAGAATAATGGATAGTTTGTTGTATGCAATTTGTGCCATTGAGTTATTGGGTTTAATGAACTTGTTCAAAAGCTTGTTTGCTTTGAGTTGTTTTTTTTCCAGTTTGAAGTTATTGCAATCAGTAGTTAGCTCAGTTCAGTTCCAGTTTGAAGGGACTGTATAGATCTTGTTTTAGCAGCTTTTAGACTTATTTGGATGGATTAGATTAGATGAGATTAGTATTTCTTAGTTCTCGTTTGGCATGTGAGTTCAAGGGGCTATCAAATTAAAATAGTCATAAAAAGATTAAATAAACTAAAAAATTAATAAGATAAAATGTCACATTCAAATTATAATTATTTTATTTTATTTTCTCACAAAAGTTGAAAATATTAAAAAATCTATTTCAAATAAGACTTTTTTGTTCCAGTCTAAAATGCTCAAAAAGTTAAAAAATCAATTCACATTTCAAATGAAGCCAGTTTTGAAATTATCAATTGATTCAAGATTATGGAGAGGGATTGGTAAAATCCTATCAATTTTATAATTTAGCCAACGAATCTAAATCTCTACTTTATTTTTCATTTTGTATCTCACCCGGCTCTTGGGATTCGATACCATGTCCTGGTAGTTTTTAATGGAATTACGTATTTTGTTGAATTATTAATCGAATCTCAAGGCTCGTCGCTCAAGCAAACATGGCTTTATTGTAATGTAAGTGGAAATAGGCAGCGGACTTTGGATTTGGATCCATTAAATGATGTGGTCCATGATTCCACTATTCATAATTGTTGTGCATTCTGCAAAGATCCAATGCAACTATGCAAATAGTTAACTGCCTTGCTTGCCTTGAAGATTTAAGTTATGGTTAGTGATCTGGAAGAGAAATGTCTCACTCTCTCAATCTCAACCCACCACCAATAAGATCTAATGTTGCACAAAAATACACAATAACTGTTGTGTAGTTGGGCCATGCTAACTATAAATGTGGAATTTATTGCATAGGTAGGAATAAACTCATAATTCTGCAAGTTAGTTTTGGTGGTTATGAAACTTCCTTTCTTTCTCCCATATGCTGTAGTCATTTATTGTCACCTTGAGGCCGCCTCATCTAATTCTTCGGCGGTGGTTTACTAACTTTGTTTTTAAATTCCGAGTCAGCTGTGTTAGGCTGTCACTCTCTAGACATGTTTGGCTTGCTGGACTTTGGATGTTTATTCATTGTACATTAGTTTGGGTTTGAGTTTTCTTCTGGCAGAGTGAATTGGACTGTCACGAGCAATGGTTGATGACATTCTTTCAGCATTAATTTTGGTTGTGTTGTGTTGTGTTTTGTTTAAAATTTGGTACACTAATTTGATTATGATTGTATTATTGATGTTAAAACAATTTATTGTGGTGTTTATGTTGAAATGATTTTGTTTAATAACCATAACCAGTTTATTAATGTACCCCTAATATTCTAAGGTCATTTAAAATAAGCTGTGACCCTCGGTGGGGGCCATCCCAGGCCTAATTTTAGAGTTAGAATTATAGTTTTTGTAAGAATTCTTGAACATATAATTCATACAAAAAATTAATTTAATTGGATATAGATAACTACATAAATAGAATACATTTATTTTAAAATAAATGAACAATCTATTACTCGCCCTCCTTTTATTTTAAGACAAATTTGTCTCTAATTCTCACACAAAGAGATGCATTTTAAGTAGAACCCTTATTTTTATTGAAGATCTCTAAAATGAAGTTAATTGGACTTGGCTTGTAAAAAATCTGGTCGAGATTTTCTAGTGAAATCAGCTCAAAACAAATCAAACTCAAATTGAATCTTGTTAATTTATTGAGGTCGGCTTAAACTTGATTCGATAAACTCATATATGCTGAAAAGAAGAGTCACTCAAATTCAATTCATAATCTTCTTAGTTGAACCTCATTTGAGATTGATTTGAAAACCAAATAATTGAATTTATTTTAGAATTTGTTAATTTTATTAGACTCGACTCGTCGACTATCTTATTTACATTTACAGTTCCATATCTAAAATGGAAAAACAAACATGAGAAGCGCACACACAATCAATATATTGAAGAGGAGATAACATAATGAGTTCTGTATCTCTGATTAGTTCTTGTCCTATCGAGAGAAGAACTCAAATTCAATTCATAATCTTCTTAGTTGAACCTCATTTGAGATTGATTTGAAAACCAAATAATTGAATTTATTTTAGAATTTGTTAATTTTATTAGACTCGACTCGTCGACTATCTTATTTTCATTTACAGTTCCATATCTAAAATGGAAAAACAAACATGAGAAGCGCACACAATCAATATATTGAAGAGGAGATAACATAATGAGTTCTATATCCCTGATTAGTTCTTGTCCTATCGAGAGAAGAAATGATAGTCTCTGGCTTGGAGTATGATATTCCTTAGCCCTCCGATAGGCGATAGAATCATCAACAGAATTCCAAGTGTAATGCAAACCTGAAAGTTCATTGAATTGATCCAATCTTAGAGATCAACTTTTTTGACAGACCTAGTCTAATCGAAAAAAGAAGAAATAACAGAGAAATTTTGCACGATAAGTATATATTTACCCAGTTAGCAAACCAAGAGAAGCTGAATTTTTTCGGTTTGTAGATGGAAAGCCACATGACACAAGGTAGCTGTGGAAGAAGTACAATGAGAGATTAAACCAATAATTGTGCATATAATATGAATAATTACTCGACTTAAACTGAAATCAGCAGAAAATTTCAAGAATGACTTACAAAGTATGTTGTAGGTGCGAATGCAAATCCCCCAAAAAATCCGAGGAGGCCGCCAAAGAAGGGGAATGAAATGGCGATGAACATTGTCAATGCTGAAACAGAGAAGATGATGTATCAAATATATACAATATCAAAACAATTCTCTCAACACCATCAAAATCAGAACCTCACTCTATTGAAAGCGATTGATAATTTACTAACCCACGTATATATTGCGTGAAATTAAGCGAAGCATTGTGCTGGGCTTGAATTTTAGCTTCGTGACCAACACTGCTTCTATCATGTCGAACACTGGCATTGCATATATCTACAAACACAAAAATGAAAAACACATTGTACATATATCAAACTAAATCTTGACACATAGGCCTAAGTTTGAACCTGATAGCTTCCGATGACATGGACGACAACAAACATGTTAGCCATAGCAATGAGCCATGCTGGTTTCTCAAGTGAGATGAGAATGTTGTCTTCGACTTGGTTTCCAAACATCCGATACCCAATGAGAGCGACTGGGAAATAGCACAAAGCAACGACGAAATAGGCTACGAGCACTCCTTTCCACATGGGTCCCTTGGAGGGCTTTTCAGGGGTGGAAGGGATGGTTGCTTGGATCTCCAACACCACATTGTGGCCAGCATAGGCAAAAGCTACATCACCTAGGGCTGTGAAGAAGTTGAACACTGTTCCTGCTGGGGTTGTGGCTTTGTAACCATATTGTACATCCTTTTTCACTCCCTTGTGGAGTGAAGCTGTCCAAGCTATTGTAGAGTAACTGTATAACAACAACAACCACCACCACATATTCAACATTTTGATTAATTTTTCCCATTCAATTTCAAACTAGGTAATGTAAAACTGCGCAGTTTTCTGTTTATTGAAAGCTGTTTGATTGTGTTTCTGTTTTCTTTGTTTTCACTTTTTTCCGTCTCTGATGTGAGAGGTTACCTCAAGGACATGACAGCGGCAGCCAAAGAGACACCAGAGATGGAGTTGAAGTTGGGAAGATGGGAAAGCACAAAGTGGACAGAGGCAAAGATCATGATGAAGTAGGTGAGTTTGATATCAGTGCAATCTTTGCAGACCAGTTCATGGAATTTCTTGAGAGACTTGCCTCCAGTGACCATGTAGACTATGTTGACTCCAACCTCAACAATCAGCTGTTGGGGAACCACTACGTAAAGCCCCAGCTTCTCACCAAAAGCATGCTGTCCAAGTTCATGGTATCGATCGAACCTTTTCCCAGGAACCATCTCATGCATCTCAACCATTTGCCACAATGTGTACAATGTTATGAACCATGATAGTATCAGTACCACAACACCTGGTCCCCTATTTCAACCATATAATAGCTTCTCATTATTGGTAAGAATTGAAAAACAACCTATTTTTAAGAAACACTAACAGGTTTTGAATTTACAAAAACTATTTTTTGCACAAAAATAAAAATAAAAAACATATTTTTGAAGTTTTCGCTCTTTCTTTTTTTCTTCCGAAATTACTAAAAACAAAAATGCAACCTAACAGCCCTTAAGGGTTAGAATCGGTCAGCTCAGCTCGCGAAAATAGTGCCCAAGCCTACCCATGGGTCAAGCTTGATAGGCTTTTTTTATGGGCTCAGACCGTTCCAGACAAAAAACTGTAGGCCCACGCCCTGCCCAATGGGTTAACGGGCAGGCCCACAGGCTAAGCCCAATGAGCTGACATTCAAATTTTTTTCATTTTCTATTTTTTGCCAAGCTTGTAGACTGAGCCACCTATCATGAGTCAACTGGTCAGGCTTCAACAACTAAGCCCATGTCTAACCCAAACCTAATTCGCCCAATCCCACTTGAGGTATGGGTTTGAGATGGGTAAAAGCAAATGGGCAGGGTAGGGTTGGGCCGAGCTGTGTACCTTGGGCAAATGAAGACCCTCACAGGCCTTCAAGAATTGAAGAAGACATGTAAGTTGATTTTATATTCAAATGTAAAATTTTATTGCACTTAATGCCCTGAAGTTTCCCTATATTATGTCATATACTCTAGCAAGAGATTATTGTACCAATATTTTTAATTAGTAATTTTCAGTTGGAGCTGTTTTCAACTTTGATTCATATTTTCATACCATCCAAGAGCAGCCATGGCATAGGGAAGACTGAGGACTCCAGCCCCAACCATGGCAGTGACATTGTGGAAAGCAGAGTACCACCATTTTGCATTCCTCGATGAAGTGATCGGAAGCCAATCATCTATGGCCTTCTGCTGTGCCCTCTTCTCATCAATCTGCAATAATGCATGACACACTGAATCAGTAATCAGTATGCAGCAGCAACGCTAAACAATAAGTAATGTAAATTTATAGGAATTAGTTTAATGTTGCATTTTTTTATTTTTTTATTTCTTATATTTGAATGATATATATATATATATATAGAATGGTATATTTTGCGCGTATCCTCATCTTATGTCTTGCATTTTTTGAAATTTGTGTCAACATGTTTGCGTTATTGCTTGTATTGCTCATTGGAACAAGGTTGCTTTGACACAAAATGGACATCTCCACACGCACGCCCGAGAGAGAGGGAGAGGTAGTCTTACAATTGTGGTGGTAATGGAGTTCTCATTTGCTGTGGTAGTATTGGAGTTGTCATCTGTTGCACTTGGTGATTGAGTTACCATGTTTTTACACACCACAGGGGAAGATGAAGCACAAAATAAAAGAAAAAATCTACGATCGTATAAAAGCTATTCCAACTCTGAAATATCAAAACTGTCTGAACTTTAATAGGAAGAAGCTCAGCCTGCAATTCAAAGAGATAGGGAATATACTGTTTGTATTTAAGCAATTTTTGTTGAAAAGAATTCTTCTTTAGACAAATGAAGCAACAACAGTCTTTTGGAGCTGTCTTGAATTTGACGTCTTTAAGAGCAAACATTAAACAAAGTTTATATAGTTGATTATTCGAATCAAACTGTGATGAAGCAGGCCGGCTTCACAGGATGTGACACCACACCATTCAAGTCGAACTGAATTGGTACCGGTAAGTACTATGACAAATGCTTCATTATTCACATCAAATGAATAATTTTAAACTGAATGGTTACAAAATGGCTTTGTTAAGTACAATGACATTGCATTAATTTTCAACGTCATCTATGTTAATCATCTGGTTCGGGGTCTGCTCTGTAAAGATTAATTTACTGACAATTTTAATGCAGAGTAGGTTCTAGTTGTACTCAACTGCTCAATAACAGACAACCATATGTTGTTTGATAGAAACAAAGCAAGTAGTGCACAATGTCCATTAATTTACCTCTTTATTTCTTTGTTTCTTGTTGTGTTTGATCAGACATATTGCATAAAACAAAAATAACAAATTAATCATTGAAGGGCATGGAAAGGAGGGAGCTGTTCTCTACTAGGTATGATTTGTGCCTCTACTCTATTCTGAGAGAGAATTGAGAACTCAATTTTTTTTCCTCCTCTCATATCCTGTTCCATTAGTTGGCATTGTAGAGACATGGAACAACTGTATAGCTCTTATTCATGTTTTTTCTATGAAATACAAGTCCATATATATAGACTATCATACAGAGTTTATTCTAGACAATCCCTTTTCTTTACAACTCATGCCACATGCACTCTTGCTTTACAATTCATGCCACATGCACAAGTTTTCGCTCTTTCTTTTTTTCTTCCGAAATTACTAAAAACAAAAATGCAACCTAACAGCCCTTAAGGGTTAGAATCGGTCAGCTCAGCTCGCGAAAATAGTGCCCAAGCCTACCCATGGGTCAAGCTTGATAGGCTTTTTTTATGGGCTCAGACCGTTCCAGACAAAAAACTGTAGGCCCACGCCCTGCCCAATGGGTTAACGGGCAGGCCCACAGGCTAAGCCCAATGAGCTGACATTCAAATTTTTTTCATTTTCTATTTTTTGCCAAGCTTGTAGACTGAGCCACCTATCATGAGTCAACTGGTCAGGCTTCAACAACTAAGCCCATGTCTAACCCAAACCTAATTCGCCCAATCCCACTTGAGGTATGGGTTTGAGATGGGTAAAAGCAAATGGGCAGGGTAGGGTTGGGCCGAGCTGTGTACCTTGGGCAAATGAAGACCCTCACAGGCCTTCAAGAATTGAAGAAGACATGTAAGTTGATTTTATATTCAAATGTAAAATTTTATTGCACTTAATGCCCTGAAGTTTCCCTATATTATGTCATATACTCTAGCAAGAGATTATTGTACCAATATTTTTAATTAGTAATTTTCAGTTGGAGCTGTTTTCAACTTTGATTCATATTTTCATACCATCCAAGAGCAGCCATGGCATAGGGAAGACTGAGGACTCCAGCCCCAACCATGGCAGTGACATTGTGGAAAGCAGAGTACCACCATTTTGCATTCCTCGATGAAGTGATCGGAAGCCAATCATCTATGGCCTTCTGCTGTGCCCTCTTCTCATCAATCTGCAATAATGCATGACACACTGAATCAGTAATCAGTATGCAGCAGCAACGCTAAACAATAAGTAATGTAAATTTATAGGAATTAGTTTAATGTTGCATTTTTTTATTTTTTTATTTCTTATATTTGAATGATATATATATATATATATATGTATATAGAATGGTATATTTTGCGCGTATCCTCATGTCTTGCATTTTTTGAAATTTGTGTCAACATGTTTGCATTATTGCTTGTATTGCTCATTGGAACAAGGTTGCTTTGACACAAAATGGACATCTCCACACGCACGCCCGAGAGAGAGGGAGAGGTAGTCTTACAATTGTGGTGGTAATGGAGTGCTCATTTGCTGTGGTAGTATTGGAGTTGTCATCTGTTGCACTTGGTGATTGAGTTACCATGTTTTTACACACCATAGGGGAAGATGAAGCACAAAATAAAAGAAAAAATCTACGATCGTATAAAAGCTATTCCAACTCTGAAATATCAAAACTGTCTGAACTTTAATAGGAAGAAGCTCAGCCTGCAATTCAAAGAGATAGGGAATATACTGTTTGTATTTAAGCAATTTTTGTTGAAAAGAATTCTTCTTTAGACAAATGAAGCAACAACAGTCTTTTGGAGTTGTCTTGAATTTGACGTCTTTAAGAGCAAACATTAAACAAAGTTTATATAGTTGATTATTCGAATCAAACTGTGATGAAGCAGGCCGGCTTCACAGGATGTGACACCACACCATTCAAGTCGAACTGAATTGGTACCGGTAAGTACTATGACAAATGCTTCATTATTCACATCAAATGAATAATTTTAAACTGAATGGTTACAAAATGGCTTCGTTAAGTACAATGACAGTGCATTAATTTTCAACGTCATCTATGTTAATCATCTGGTTCAGGGTCTGCGTTGTAAAGATTAATTTACTGACAATTTTAATGCATAGTAGATTCTAGTTGTACTCAACTGCTCAATAACAGACAACCATATGTTGTTTGATAGAAACAAAGCAAGTAGTGCACAATGTCCATTAATTTACCTCTTTATTTCTTTGTTTCTTCTTGTGTTTGATCAGACATATTGCATAAAACAAAAATAACAAATTAATCATTGAAGGGCATGGAAAGGAGGGAGCTGTTCTTCTCTACTAGGTATGATTTGTGCCTCTACTCTATTCTGAGAGAGAATTGAGAACTCAATTTTTTTTCCCTCCTCTCATATCCTGTTCCATTAGTTGGCATAACGGTAAGGTTGCTTCATTTTGAATTGGGCATCATGGGTTTTAAACACAACCCCATCCCAGACACTGCCACCACGGAGCCTTGTGGAGCGGAAGATGTAAAAACATTAATCAGATTGCACGTTAGAATCAGGGTCATTGTTGTAATAAAAACCTTCATTTGTAAAACATTAATGCTAATCATCAAAGTCACACAACCTCTAGCCAACACAAATTCAGAAAGAATTAGAATCCACTTCTATCTCACAAGTGAAAGTTAATCAAAAAAAAAAAAAAAAAAAAAAAAAAAAAAAAAAAAAAAAAAAAAAAAAAAAAAAAAAAAAAAACAGAAAGGAAAAGAAGAAGAAGAAGAAGAAGAAGAAACATAAGATAACAAACATGAAACTGATATATATCTGCACACCATTGAATGAAAAGAAGCTGTAAATAAAGGCCTCCAGGAAGCTTTCTTAGTTGGTTCCATGGCTGGAATGCCATTTTTCCATAACAAGCGATAAAATTACAGAAATTTCAATTGATGTCCCATTTGATGAATCCCACTTTAGTCATTTTGCCATGGCCATTCTAAGTGTCGTCATGATCTTCTCTTCTCCATTTGGGTATTTTACGACAGCCACGTCCTCTTGGCGTATGAAGATTTGCTTATGAGTAGAATTGATAGTCCTTTGCAGCTTTTATAATTTGCCTTAGCCCTCCAATAGGCGACAAGATCATCAAAAGAACACCCAGTATAATGCAGATCTGAAATTGATGAAGCCAAATCAAAATTAATTAAGCTTTAAATTTCAAACCACAGGAAAAAAAAATGAAAGCAATGTGAAATTAATTTTAAGTTTCAGTCATACCCAGTTAGTAACCCAAGACAAGCTGAACCTCCTCGGCTTATAGATAGCAAGCCAAATGATGCATGGTAACTGTAGAAAAAGCAAGAATGAGAGTAAGCAATCATACGATGTTTGTTTCTTCATTCTATATGGTTTCAATAAAAAAGAGATAAGAGAGTTGCTTACAAAGTATGTTGTAGGGGCAAATGCAAATCCTCCAAAGAATCCAAGAAGACCACCAAAGAAAGGAAACGTAATGCCAACAAACATTGTGAATGCTGCAAGAAAAAGAAATTATATTAACTTTGGAAAAACGTAACTTTTTGCTTTTGACAAAATCACAAATTCATGTAAAATAATGCAGTAATTGGATGAAGATGAGGAGTACAATTCACTTACCCACATATATATTTCGAGAAACAAAGCGAAGCATTAAAGTGGGCTTGAAATTCAATTTTTTTACCAAAGTCGTTTCTATCATGTCAAACACCGGCATTGCATAAATCTAAATCAACAAAAAAAAAAAAAAAAAAAAAAAATCAGATAGAGATCCACCAAAGAAAGTTTATCAACTTAATCAAATCAAGAAATTATGGCTTGCACCTGATAGCTTCCAATAACATGAATAACAACAAACATGTTAGCCATTGCAATGAGCCATGTGGGTTTCTGTAATGAGATGAGGATATTGTCTTGAACATTGTTCCCAAATGTCCAATAACCGATCAGTGCCACAGGGAAGTAGCACAAGGCCACGACGATATAGGCAACTATCACTCCCTTCCACATGGGGCCCTTGGAAGGCTTCTCGGGTGTAGAAGGGATTGTTGCTTGAATCTCCAAGACCACGTTGTGGCCTGCATAGGCAAAAGCCACATCACCCAAGGCACTGAAGAAGTTGAAGACTTTTCCCGCTGTGCTCTTCTCTGTATATGAATATTGGACATTCGGTTGCACACCCTTGTGAAGCGAAGCAGCCCATGCAATGGTAGAGTAACTGCAGGACATCGAAATCAAAGATATTGCTGTACTTGCTTGCCGATCAATATTAAGCATTGGAGCACTAATAAAAATTAGGGGTTGCCTTTTTTTTCCACGAATTTTCATGTGACTGCTAGGTTTAATTATATTTTTTCATGCAAACATAAAATTATTGGGAAACAATGATGAAATGGCATCAATGAGAAGATGAATTTTGGACATTAAAACTATGTTTCATGGACTCTCGTGTCCTTTGACATGATAATTAGATGAATTAGACACTCACACACATACCTGTGTGTACCTGAGTCAATGTAACATAAAATGGAATAGAAAAGCAAGAGGGACTGTACCTCAAGGACATGACTGCTGCAGCCAAAGACACACCGGAGATGGAGTTGAAGTTGGGAAGATGGGAGAGCACGAAGTGGACAGAGGCAAAAATCATGATGAAGAAAGTGAGCCTAATATTTTGGCAATCTTTGCACACCAAATCATGGAATTTCTTGAGTGACTTCCCTCCAGTGACCATATAGACTATGTCCACACCAACCTCACAGACAAGCTGTTGGGGCACCACAATGTATAGACCAAGCTTTTCACCAAATGCATGCTGGCCAAGCTCATGATACCTGTCGAAACGTTTTCCAGGTACCATCTCATGCATTTCAACCATTTGCCACAAGGTGTAAAAAGTGACAACCCATGATATAACCAGTACAGCCACACCAGGACCCCTGAAAATCAAAAGAGTATAACTCAGTTACTTGACTGTAAAATTTCCAAAATAAAAATAAAAATTTCTTTTTTGATTGAGAAGTAAAATGAAAATGGTTAATTTAAAGAAATTCATATGTCTCAGACTCTCAATTATTCGAAAATCTTAAAAAAGTTTCAGAAAATAAAAACTTCTATGGTAAATTTTTTTTTGAAAAAGTAGCCCTTTACAAGAATGAATGGTCTAAAATGAACATTTTAATAACATTGCGCTTTATCAAACATATTCAGTGAGACCCCACAATACATTGATTTTCATTGAAATTATTTTCAACTAATTAAAAATGCTTGTCTTAAGTTAAAATTATTAATGAATTAAAGTAAATTGTTTGGTGATCATGATTCATGATTATGCATAGTGCATACCATCCGAGCTCTGACATGGCATAAGGGAGACTGAGGACGCCAGCTCCAACCATGGCGGTGACATTGTGGAAAGCAGAGTACCACCACTTTGCATTTCTTGATGAAGTGATTGGAAGCCAATCATTGATCGCCTTCTCCTTCTCAGACTGTGTGTCAACCTGTAGCATGTTTGTTTCAAATAAATTCAACCAAAAAAGAAAAAGATTAAAAAAAAAGAAAACGCAGTTTTAATAAAAAACATCATTAATATAATCTGGGTAACCATAAACCAGTCACAATAGACATTTAGATGTATAATAATCTTTTTTTTATTATTTATTATTTATTATTTTTACGGTGTGTATTAATCTTTCGAGTATATTAGACATTACATAATAAGTGGAAAATTTCACTGCCAAGCACAAGGCATGTGCAGAGTCTGTTTCTCTAATTTTTTATTTTTTGAAAATATTATGGTAAAAAAAAAAAGAAAGCCTAGTACCCCTTAATTAAGACAATCAGGTGAAGTCCAGAACGGTTGTGTTAAATTAATCTTTATTTAAATTTTAATAAAAACGAAATCATAGTAGCTTGATTTTTAGTCACAGTTATGTTAGTAGGTGGTGTTTGGCAGGTGAGATTTTAGCTAATTTTTGGCTAAAATTCATAAAAAGACAAAATAAACTAAAATAGTTAATGAGATAAAATAATACATCAAATCCATAATCATTTCACTTTTACTCTCACAAACATCATATCCAACTATAAAAAAATATTTCTAAACACAAAAATTTTAACTTACTAAAATAGTCAAAAACTTAAATAACCTACTAAAATAACAACTTCTCAAACACCCACTTGACAACTTGGCTACTATTTATTGCCTATAAGATAAGCTTGGATCCAAATTTTTTTGTGTGGTTGTGATACATCAGGAATAGAAAACGAAATTGCCGTGGGTTCAACGTCTTTCCCAACAAAAAGGGCCCACACTAATGAACCTCTTTAGACTTTTGATAGCAAGCCCGTGTTAGGATTCAAAAAAAATAAAAATGGGTCAGTCCACGATTTTCACATGTTAAAAGAGCTCCTCAATCCATTTTAGAGGGAACATTCGTTATTTCATAGACAATTCATCTTCAAAGGTAGAAAACAAAAAAAAATTCCTTGAGAGAATTGCCATCTTAACCTAACTCAAGAGGGTAGCCTCTCTATCAACTCTAAAAAATCAAATTGTAACTCCTTTGAAATCGTAAGTGTGTCCGTTCATTATTGCTTGGCCCAACTTTGATTTCTCCTTGTATATTAATCTGCTTGTTAGATTTTGTATAAAAGTTAGGCATGTTTGTTTCCTTCATGAAGGGTGTATTGCCTCTGGGCGTGTAACGAGTTTCACTGTAATACTTATTTTTTTGGTATATAACTTATGAATCTATCCAAAAAAAAAAAAAAAATTTCAAAAAAAATTACTCAGAAAAATAATTTTTTTTTAAAAAATTATAGTTTGGAATCAGGACCATTATAATTTTTGGAAAATTGTAATATTTGTTTTTTTAAATAAATTTTCTTGGTATATGATTTTTTATATATATAAAAAAATCCTTTTGACAATTACTAGTAAATGTTGAATTCCTCTAATTAGACCATTTAATTTATTTTTACGTCTTCCCAAGAAAATATCAAAATGAGAACAATATTTATAATTTTGCATCTACCTTTTAAACAACTGAAGAAATTAATTAATCTTGTCAAATATGACCGGAACTTCACACACACAGTTAAAATTTCAACTCTTTTCAAGTCAACCAAAATCAAAATCGAAGATTTAAATCCCAAAACTTACAACAACAACAACAAACGAAGCAACAATAACAAATCTTAACTTGACTTCATTATCAGAAGCAGAACACTATCAAATCACACATCAACATACATACACAAAAAGCAGAGAGACATAGCTATATATAGAGAGGGAGAGAGAGAGGCTGACATTGTTGGGGTTATAGTTCTGATCATTTGGAGCTTGAGTTCCCATGGCTATTCAGTAGAGAGAGAGAGAGAGAGATTCCAGAAACAACGAGAAACTGAAACGATAGAAGAAAAACAAAAAGAGAGAGAGCTCTGAAATCAGAGACTACAAAAATGCGTAAGGTTAGGGCATATATATAAAAGAGATTCAAAATTGCCGTGTGGATATAAAGAGATTCAGCCAGAAAGTTTTAGAGAGAGAGAGAGAGAGAGAGATTGAACGTGACGTTTTTTATTTGACTTTCCCAAGTCCGCTACTGAAGACAGCGAACCTTACTTTTAAATATATAAAATTATTCAAAGAACTACTTTGACAGTGGGGCCGTATTTGTTTGATTTCGCACCATGGAAGGGTATGGAAAATGACAATATGGCCACATTTGGTATTTTTATAATTACTTTTATTAATAAGAAAATGGGGAATTAACCAGTAAATCTCATTTTGTAGATTTGTAATCCATAAGATTCTGAATGTTTTCTTAGTGACTAGGTGGTCCCTTAATTTGTTTGTTGACAATTTTGCCACTGCTAGTATTATTGATTGACATTTGGTGTGGGTTTGTATGGGAAAAGGTAAATGGGTGTTTGTGTGTCACGTTGATCAAAAAAGCACACTAATACTTTTTTTAATTTAGTAAGTGTGTAACACTCACAACTTGAGACGTGGGTTGTAACGTGAACACAAGTAATTTGACACAATTTTTTTTTTTTTTTTTGTGAACTAAGTAATTTGACAAAGTTTGACACAAGCAATTTAACACGAGTCGTGTGTCACGTTTCGGCTTTCTCAGAGTTTGACCCTTTGTTTTCCAATTGCCATTTGTGATGTTTCGATGGCATATTCTGCCTCAACGGTCGCATGGAAAGCCCTACATTCTGGCTCGGCATTGTGGGTTTCGTGATCATCGCTTACTGTATGGTGAAAAACATCAAGGGTGCTACGATCTACGGAATATTCTTCGTCACCGCTGTGTCGTGGTTTCGAAATACCACTGTGACGGTGTTTCCAAACAGCACCGATGGCGACACGACTTATCAATATTTCAAAAAAGTGGTGGACGTTCACACAATCAAGTACACAGCCGGAGCTCTCAGCTTCAAAAGCATGGGAGCGGGGCATTTCTGGGAAGCTCTGATCACATTTCTGTACGTAGACATACTCGACACCACTGGAACTCTCTATTCGATGGCTCGATTCGCTGGTTTTACAGACGAAAATGGTGATTTCGAAGGCCAATACTTCGCTTTCATGTCCGATGCTTCGTCGATCGTTGTGGGTTCGTTGTTTCGACGTAAACCTTACCATTTGTTGGGTTCACGCAGAATCTCGTTTCTTTGAAGAAATCGATGCCTTCGTTTCGTTCTCTGAGAAACCATTTGAAGCTCAAGAGGAGTATTCCACACAGCCAATCGATGCCTTGGTCCACGCACTGTTGTGTGACTCCATAACCCACGTTATCACACCCCAAAACATGGATCTGAATTACCAAACGTGGATCAGGAAACATATCCCACAAAATCTGCATTCAATCCCAATATACACCTCTAAAGAAAAAACAAAAGAGGGTCAAACCCGTCTACACACACATCACGTAAATTTAAAACGGGACCTGATTGTCCACAAAACATGCCAAACAGGACTTGCCAATCCAACAGGCTCGGCGTTGTGGGTTTCGTGATCATCGCTTACTGTATGGTGAAAAACATCAAGGGTGCTATGATCTACGGAATAATCTTCGTCACCGCTGTGTCGTGGTTTCGAAATACCACTGTGACGGTGTTTCCAAACAGCACCGATGGCGACACGACTTATCAATATTTCAAAAAAGTGGTGGACGTTCACACAATCAAGTACACAGCCGGAGCTCTCAGCTTCAAAAGCATGGGAACGGGGCATTTCTGGGAAGCTCTGATCACATTTCTGTACGTAGACATACTCGACACCACTGGAACTCTCTATTCGATGGCTCGATTCGCTGGTTTTACAGACGAAAATGGTGATTTCGAAGGCCAATACTTCGCTTTCATGTCCGATGCTTCGTCGATCGTTGTGGGTTCGTTGTTTCGACGTAAACCTTACCATTTGTTGGGTTCACGCAGAATCTGATCGTCTGTTCCGGCGGGGTACGACGTGAACCTTACCATTTGTTGGGTTCACGCAGAATCTCGTTTCTTTGAAGAAATCGATGCCTTCGTTTCGTTCTCTGAGAAACCATTTGAAGCTCAAGAGGAGTATTCCACACAGCCAATCGATGCCTTGGTCCACGCACTGTTGTGTGACTCCATAACCCACGTTATCACACCCCAAAACATGGATCCGAATTACCAAACGTGGATCAGGAAACATATCCCACAAAATCTGTATTCAATCCCAATATACACCTCTAAAGAAAAAACAAAAGAGGGTCAAACCTGTCTACACACACATCACATAAATTTAAAACGGGACCTGATTGTCCACAAAACATGCCAAACAGGACTTGCCAATCCAACAGAATTAATGTGGGACTAGATGGAGTAATAGATTGGTAAATAGGACTTTCTGATAATTTCCCCTAAGAAAATATTATAAATTCTAAATTTTTTACTAAATAAATAATTAAATGTTTTACGCTCATATTTATGTGAGATATGTAGGTTTTGTTTGTTATAACTTAAAAGAATTAAAAAGTCACAATTTTATTTAATTCACATTATCTTATTTAACTCACATTATTTTTTTATCACATCATTTCAAACTCAACCAATATTTCATAAAAAGTTAAAAAGTATATTTATTAGATCATTCCAAATCACCTTTTAGTTATTTATTTAGTAGAAAATTTAATATTTCTAACATTATTACCCTTATTAGTAGAAAAATGTTATAGGTCCTAAATTTTTTACTAAATAAGGTCTCGTTTGGGAAGTGACCCATTTAGCCAAAAAGCCAAAAAGTCAGTAAAAAAATTAAAAAGTCAACAACTCATACCAAAAAGTCAAAGATTCTTTTTTCTCTCTACTTTTTGCACATCTTTTCATAAAAAGTCAAAAAGTCATCCCAAACATATTAATTTTTTTTAGCTCATATTTTAGCTAAATAGCCAAAAAGTTACTAAATTAACTTGTTCCCAAACGAGACCTAAATGACTAAATGTCTTATATGTGTGTAGGATTCACAAAATTGTGGACCCTAGATCCATATGAGACATTTAGTCATTTATTTGGTAGAAAATTTAATATTCCTAACATTACCATTATTAGTAGGAAAATGTTATAGGTTTTAAATTTTCTATTAAATAAATAACTAAATGTCTTACATGGAGTGTATGATTCACAAAATTGCGAACCCCACACCCATATGAGATATTTGGTTATTTATTTAGTAGAAAATTTGATATCCCTAACATTATCGTTATTAGTATGATGGTGTTAGATTGGAGATATAAAATAAAAAATATTTATTTGTATATCATTGGATTAGTAATATTATAGATAGTATTAATAGGGAAATTTAGTCTAACATCCCTCCCCAACTTTTAGTAATGAGAAATGTCCACAATATTTTTTTTTGTAGTCTAAGATCCCTCAGCCATATCCTCTTTCATGTCTCTTCCTTACGCTCTTGATCTCTCTCTCTCTTTACAAGTGAAACAAGAACCATGGTTTTCCCTCTGCAACTCTTCACCCTAATCTTCATCCCTACTACAATTGTCATCGCCATTGATGACTCTTCATTTTCAATGGTTCCTCTATTATCGTCATCACCATCAATATTGTTTCAAGACCACTACACGTACTTATTATCTCTAATAGCCGTCGCAAAGCACAAACCCATTTTTCATCCACCGACGGCCTTTCGGCAAACCAGACACCGGAGTTTCCTCCTTTTCGGAGTTGTCTTTCTTAGACCTCAAAGTTGCCACTAACAACTTCATTCTCGAATACATCGTCTCCTAAGCAGTTACACACTCTCTCTCTCTCTTTGTAATTGATCTTTTTAGAACCACAAGGGTCTATCTACATCACTGATTTTAATACAATTTTGAGTAATATACATCCTAATCTTCCCCTCTGCAACTCTTCACCCTAATCTTCATTTCTACTACAATTGTCACTGCCATTGATGACTCTTCATTTTTAATGGTTCCTCTATTATCGTCATCGTCATCACCATCAATATTGTTTCAAGACCACCATATATACTCATCATCTCTAATAGCTGCCGCAGAGCACAAACCCACTTTTCATCCATCGACGATCTTCCGACGAACTAGACACCGGAGTTTTCTCCTTTTCGGAGTTCTCTTTCTTAGACCTCAAAGTTGCCACTAACAACTTCATGCCCGAATACATCGTCTCCTAAACAGTTACACACACACACACACACACACTCTCTCTCTCTCTCTCTCTCTCTCTCTGTGTGTAATTGATCTTTTTAGAACCACAAGGGTCTATCTACATCACTGATTTTAATACAATTTTGGGTAATATACAAAAGAAAAAACAACTTAATTCTTGATTTTCGTTTGATTGCACTTGTTGTTTGTGAAATTTACTAGTTTGGTTAAGTGTTGTGTTGTGATATCCATTGCTTTTGGTGTTTTGATTTCTAGAATTCATCATTAATTTGATTAATATTGTAAATTAGAATACTAATGATTTGATTTTTGGATGGATCTTTTCATCTATTTTGCCCAAATTGACGAGGTAACTCTCATTTGCTCTATTTGTATTTGCAATATTTTATGCGTACACTAGAAGCAAGATCTCTTCGATCGACATTGGTGTACCTGTTGTTCGAATGTCTTACAGTCCAGGGAAAATTGATCAAAATGGTGGTTGTTCAATTTTCTCTGATTTGTTGTTGTTTGAATATCTTACAGTCTAGAGAAAATTGGTCAAAATGAAAATGGTGGTTGTTCAATTTTCTGTGGGTTGTTGTTGTCTGAATGTCTTACAGTTCAGAGAAAATTGGTCAAAATGAAAATGGTGGTTGTTCAATTTTTTTCTGATTTGCTATTATCTGAATATTTTATAGTCCAAAGAAAATTAGTCAAAATGAAATGGTGGTTGTTCAACTTTCTCTGGATTGTTGTTGTCTGAATGTCTTACAGTGTAGAGAAAATGGGTCAAAATGAAAATGGTGATTGTTCAATTTTCTCTGGTTTAACAAAAAAATACAGAGAAAATTATGAGCAAACTAGATAAAATTGGTCAAAACACAGAGAAATTCTCTGAGA